TAGAAAATAATCCTTAAACATTTTTCAAAAAAAAATGAAGGATTTTCATATAACATAAACTGATTATAAATATGAAATTATTATTGAACACCATTTGCAAAATCTTGATGCCTGACAGATTGATTACCATAATAGTCAGTGAGTAGTTTGAACCATCGCGATAATCTTCCTTGCTAGCCGAAAATGAACACGTTTTGCAATTTGCACCAGACTGTAGTGATAGTAGAAAATGTATTAATTTAAATAAATTTTCCGCAAATAATGAATTTGAAGCGTTTTGAGTAAATCCGATGGGATCTATGTTTCATTAATCAACAGTTATTGAGGAAAAGACACATATGGGAATTACCAAAGGGCTTCTGAAAACATCTTCATTTCGATCTGTATATAAAGCAATGTACCTGGTAAATACAAAACATTCCCTGCTTTCTGAAAAATGATTTTAATCTTATTTACTTTATTTGTTCTTGTATAAAGTTATGAAAACTCAGCAAAATGTTGTTTTTTTAAACAGGGGATGCTTGCTCACTTTAAACTGAAACGGGTGTTTCTATTCTTCTAATAGGGGTGTTTAACTTACCACCGACTCTTCCTTGTGACATCAGAAATGCCGGCACCAATCCATCTAAATTGTGCTGTAAATGTGGCATATAATGTAACACTGATGGTAATTGTACATTCTGTCCATCAGCCAAGTATCTCTGTAACCTCTGCCTTGTCTCTTCAACTGCAAAATGAATATATCAAATAATAATAGTAAATATACTATGACCCCCTACCCCCACGCCTATAGTCAGCATAACATACTAGTATATGGTGGATTAAAGTTACTTTTGTCGATTTTGTTTTTCATAGGAATAAGAGAATTTAATTCTATCTTAGATTGGTTAAAGAGTTGTTAACACAAATAGATTTTCGTAATAACTTATATTTGGTATTTTTTACAGTGATACATACATGTACATGAATGACATTTTATACGTCACATACTTTGTATAAACATCTGTAAACAGGCTATTAGCCAGCCACCTCTGTCTGCCTGCCTGCCATTTTAGACAGGCAAAAAATTTCTAGCTTTTAAATAGCTATAAATATTAACAAAAAATAACTAAGTCTGTGGCTGTATATATAGAAAGAGAAGCAAGTATTATCTTGCATTTCAGTATAGATTTTAGACTGGTACTATAACCGTGATGTGTAACATGGACTTCAGCTGCTTTAGTGCTAGAATAGACTTATAAGGGACAGTGATCAAAGTCACTGAATTCATACTATTTACTGATTGAAAAAAGTTATTATTATTTATATTAATATGAATAATGATTTCAGCCAATGCACAATCTTATTTTGTATAAATCACATGAAATATTGTAATGGTAGTTAAAATGTAAGAATAGTTACGAATTACCAATATAGAATAAATATATAAATCCTTAGAAAGCTACAGCAGTCATACCAAAATGTGGTCAATATGGATTCCACACAATGTATTGTGGCAAAACTGTAAATTGACTATACAGTTAATTAAAAATAATTAGAGCAATATACAACAGAATGAGATAATTAAATTACTTGCTTTGTGTTGCTGACTGGTAATGGTCATGAAAGCGAGATGTCGGCTGTTTTCGTATGTCAAAATGTAATTTGCTAAATATGACTTTGAGTTTGGCAGGGAGTCTGAGTACATACACGATTATCCAAAGTCAACATTACAATCAAGAGCAGTAGTTATTAGATATCATGACATTGTGAAGATTGACAGTGGAAAGAACCAAGTCAACAAGTGTACAAAAGGACCGGTTATTGAGTGAGACTATCCACTGTGCATGGTATCGAGGAGTGCGTAAAATTAGTGCTGTTGTTGTGAGTGCTTTGTTCCCCATTAACTGACATCTACTTGAGATGAGGAATCAGACTTCTTCGAAACCGGAATTCGGTCGCAGTTTACAATGTGTACATATAAAATACTTATTGTCTATTTACGTTAATTCAAACGCACGTAGCACGACTGTAACACTTTGAATGAAATAAATGAGGATTAAACAGAACTTAAATATAAACCAATTTATCCACTTAAACTAATAGAAGTTAATTAGAGATAATCATCATTTTTTAATCTTCTCCAAAACCCTTAGTGCATATAGCGAGATTAAATTGCATGATTGTAATTGTACCTATCTAACTGTGCCTTAATAGGTGATTTTTCGTTCACCTGAAATCTTGCAATTGCGTGACATGCGCAGACCGAACGTCTGTCACAAAGATCGAACGATTTGATTTTGAATTTATGTTTCTTTTTTATAGCTCAATGTCGTATGGCGATCCTTGAGAGGGGAATATTGCATTGAGACACCCTAACTTTATAGAAATTAATCATCATCTAATGTGTATAGCAAATTATTAACGTGGAAATACCCAACAATATTTTTGCATTGACGAACTCCACACGATGTCCGGAAGTCACTACAACGCTATGACCTTTGTTTGTCTCGTTTTTTTCGTTCAATTTCACGCATAAAGCGGGATCTCACAGTCAACAGAAAATGGTCTATTGCTACCATACTGCAGCTTTCATGTACCCTATCATTTTGTCTTATTTGCACCACACATTATCACATTACCATTTATCATATTTGAATCATGGCTTTTTCATTTTCCAATTTTTTCCAATTTTTCCAATTTATTGCTTTTGAATCAATATCCTGCATATTTAATGGATTTTGCATCATGCCCATTAATCTTGTTTGGGTCATGCTTTTATCGCTTTGCTATCTGTCTTGTATCTGTCTTGCAAATATTTCACACATTTTATTCACCATCGCATTTTTAGTTCAAAATGTATACCCCGAAATGAAGAGGGCATAAATATCAGCACATTGTTACGATCACCATACATCTGATATAAAGACAATAAATTTACCAAGGCTGAGAAAGTACATTTAGAATTCTGAAATGAGAAATGCATTGTATGTAATGTACGCATAATATAACTCGGCGATGTCAATGCGATAAAACATGACACGAATGAGTAAATCCATGTGCGTGGTTAAGTGCAAATTTTTAGTTATACTGGATAAAGATCAGAGAAAGCAGTTACCCTTTTGACCTTTAATCTTTAGACCTTTGAGGGCCGTATTTTTTTAATTTGTATTCGCTTTTCCACAATTTTTTGTTTGTTTTTAAATCTGAAAAAAATTATGCTGCTATCATTTGTAGGAAAGGTGACAAAGGTTGACTATAGTGTTCACAGGATTTAATAATGTCTTTAGCATAAAGGAACTAACTAAGGCACTAGTATAATATAATAACAGAACTTGTATTGAGCAGGAGACTGAGGATAATTAGAACTCTGATATGATCAGTAAGTGGTGGGCTATAATACCAAAAGATGTCAAACAAGACAGTGTCAAACAATGAACATCAAAAATGAAAATTATTAACATTATTATAAATAAAACACAATATACTTCATTTAAAAACATTATTCAGCAATGGTACTAAGGCAGAGCATAGATGGAGATTGCTGTTTACACCAAGGGAGATGTCGCAAGTACACATAACTGGGTATATGATAAGTCTGTGCATGGATTGGAGTTTAAATATTATTAATTTATTGACTAGTTATAAATTGGCGCAGATACAAATATGAACGAACGTTGGTGATAGCAACTATAGTCATCCGATTATCTTAATTTGTATAAACTTAAATTGTCATTCAGTGAAAAAATATTTAACAAGTGCAGAAATTAAAATCAAATAAAATTACATTCATTAATTTACCGGGTATATTACAACTACATGAATCATAATAGTTATATTTATTTGAATAAAAAATATATTTGGTGAAAATACATTTTTTATTTGCTTCAGTGTACTATTAACATTACTGTTATCCAAATAAACTTATTTCTGATCTAACATGAGGCTTTGTGCACATCAATAAACAAAATTTACGCTACCTTCTTCTTTTGGAGACACAGCTATAACAAAAGAACATGAAAAATAATATTGGATCAAATTGAGAACAAATTTAAACCATTGATGCAACACAAATCATATTGATGCAGGCATTATCAATATAGGGAAAAAATTTCACTATATTAATAATACAATGCCACGGCCATATTGGAAAAGTTTACTGTTGCTTATGAATAACAACATACACGTACATGTAATGGTTAGTCATTAGAGCGCCCTCTGTAGTTGATTTGTACTCCAAATTACAGGTGATCGATCCTTCGCGAAAGCTTTGACAAACCTCACCGATGAAGCAGCAAAGATTTACCATATCGTGTGTGTAAACACAGGAGCCTAATATGACGTATGCAAATTCATAGACCACCAAATGCACGAATCTGATTGGCTGATATGGCTATAAAGTATAATATTTAGTGAATGAATGTCAGTCATTTTATCATTATTAGAACGTTTTCCATGTTAGAGATATTATACGCTATAACTCAAATTGGTGACAGGTAAGATTCTCTATATTGTGACTGACTGGAAATATAATACTGAATCATTTAAAACATATTGTGTTTAAAATTAATTAAAATTGTGTAAATAAAACTTTATATTTTGCCGGTTTTTTTTTTCAAATACAGGATTGTAACACACAAAATAAGGCTGTTTCACAAAAAAATGATTCAAGATTGGACAGAATAAATCAACAAACATTGTCATGCGGTTTATGACAAACTTTCTTAAAAATTATGAATAAGCTTCCACACGTTTCTTAAGATGTATTCACAAACCAAGCTAATGTATATAGTGGAAATCTTAGGGTTCATAAGGATGTCCATACCACATCTGGAAGAGATGTTTATCATCGTATATATATATTCAACAATTCATCATCACAGACACAAATATGTACATTATAGGAACATCACTCATTGGGTTTATGGGAAGTATCACTACGTAATAGAAATAAATTACTAAGTAATTGAAAAATGAACATTAATGAAAGCACAAAATCATTACAGATCAGTAATTAATCAGACCGTCTGTCTCCAGTATGGTTGCACTACAATAATCTGATGTATACTTAGAAAGGAAAAAATATACAGTACTTAATTTTATTGGATTTCATGCTGTGGAGAATGTTTGAGTTTGAGGAAAGAAATATAATTTGGATTATACACTGGGTTTTAATTTAGTACTACCGGTAAGTCATTTACATGGTTATCAGAAGCTAAGCAAAAACATAACATTTAATGGCTAATTCATAGACATTGCTATGCGTAGTATGGGACCCACATCAATATACTTGGTTGTGTCAACCATGCAATGTACTCTCCAGAATTTTGTTAACAAATAGACAATAACAAAAATGTATTTGATAATAATTGTGCTACAGAACCAAATATGCATATAGCAATGGTTACAGCCTTTTTTACTAATGTACAGTTGAGCTATTTTCATAACTCTATTTTAGTATTTACTCTGTTTTAAAATCTTTCTGCACCATTACTCACAAAAATTAAAAAAACGAATTAAAATTGATTTGTTACCACGAGAACGCACATAAAAACTGCAAGGAGGCAATGCACCCATGTTTAATACCCTGTTCAGAAAGAACACTGCCATGAAAGATAATTGATATATGGATGGTATAAAAGCACAAACAAATGCACTGCTAAGGACCATTTATGATGAATACTGGCTGTATAATATAAATTTGAATAAACTACCAAACACCATTTGACTTATCACAATGCCCAGTGA